CCCCCCCCCAACATCAGGCAGGCCCCCTCCCTTCCTCACTTCAAATCTCTGATTAAAACTCATCTGTTCTCTCAGACATTTCACTCAGTGTAAATTGATCTAGTGTTTTTTAATCTGTGACCATGTTTTAAATGCTTTTTATTAATTCTTCAGTTATTATTATTAGTGTATTGTATATATATGTTTATATATTTTTCTCTTTAATGTACTCATTGATTGTTGTTGTTGTTGTTGATTAGCACTTTGATAACAGGTTCTGTTTTAAATGTGTCTATTAATAAAGTTGACTTGACTGTAAACAAACTGAAGGACAGAAAGCTGAGGACAGGTGTGGATCCTAACTTACCTTTTCGGTGCCATTAGACTCAAACATGTCCACAGTCATCTCCTCCTCATCCTCGCCCTCCTCCGGTGGCAGTGCCAGCCCGAGTCCAGCCTCAGGACTTCTTTCTTGGTCTTCCTCAGCATCCAGGTCCTCGTGGACTCCGGCGGACTCATAGTTCTGCAGGAAGACAGCGACCCGGCTGGAGTTTCTCTGAATCTCCACCCTCAGGATGCCGTCCCGAGGCCAGCGGTCCCGGACCGCCTCCAGACAGTTGATGGGGGAGCGGGAGAAGGCGATGTGTATGTAGGCAAGGATGAAGAGGACAAAGAGCGCCTGATGGAGAAAAGGTGAAGGTGTTAGCCAACCAGGAGCCACCGCATTCTACTAGAAGTTTGCAGAACATCTGAGACCTGTATTCTGTCCAGGTTCTGGCCCATATGAACCCAGGTGTCTCACCTTTAAAAGGACGAAGAACTCGAAGACCCTCCTGAAGGACGGTGGAAAGAGGCGTGCATACGTGACGGCCATCTTGAAGAAGAGGGCGTGGAAGAGGCGGTCTCGTACGTTGATGAGAGGGTTCTGGTTGATGTTGGGGTTCCGGATCCTGTTGGGCCCCATGTTGTTGTTGTTCACAGGAACATTGTTGTTGTTGGCCTGGTTCTCCGACATGGCACTGGTCTCTGCAGGACTCTGATGGTTCTGGGTCCAGTTTTAGGTCAACATGACTGCAGTCAGGAGGGTGAAGGAGGTATCGAGCCGACTCAGGCAGGACCATCCACAGGTAAGGCCCACCTGGATCAGTTCACACACCTGAAGGAGACAAGCACACGACTCAGATCCACTACCAAACAACTGGGTTCTGAGCTGAAACTGGTCTGGTTGTCAGGTCCTGAGGCTGCGATCAGCTGACCGAGGTCACTGATCAGAACCGATCGGCAGATCCCGGAGTGTTTGGCTCTTTGCAGGTGAACATCTGTGGGCTGTCAGGTGTGTCTGACTCACCTGGCTCTGACGTTCCTCGCGGTGTTTTCATCGACAGGAAGCAGCTAGCTGTTAGCTCGATGCTAGTCACCTAAGCAGGCGGCCCAGTCTGCTGACGACGGAGTTCAGCCCCAGCTGGCGGCTTCAGGACCGACTGACGAGCCGAACCAGCAGGATCCGACTACAGGAGGAAGACGGGGACCCGATCTGAGTCCCCGGAAGCTGAATCTGACTCCGAGATTTTAGCTAACAGAGGTTAACGTCTGCTGTTAGCACCAGATCATAGCCAGACCGGAAACACAGCTTCAGTCTGCGGCTGCGTAGATCATCTCCTTCTCCCTGAGCGCTGTCTGTCAGGAGACTGGTGTTCTACTCCCTGAGCGCTGCCTGTCAGGAGACTGGTGTTCTACTCCCTGAGCGCTGCCTGTCAGGAGACTGGTGTTCTACTCCCTGAGCGCTGCCTGTCAGGACAATGGTGTTCTACTCCCTGAGCGCTGCCTGTCAGGA